TTTCAACTGACCCCATTGGTAGAACTGGAGGAACCTTTATGCGCGTCTTGTGTACTACATTATTATGAGTATTTTCTTTAACCGGGTCTCCTTGTTCAGTCCTTGCCTGTTTGTTCCCAAGCAATGACATGTTCATCATGGGGAGCGCTCGTTTTCGTCTGTAGCTGGCTCTGATGAAGTCCGTGGAGGTATTGTTTCGGATTGCCATGGAGATGAAACTCCATCCTTTAACACATCTTCCTTTCTTCTGTCCCATGCAGATGATTTTGAAGAGAAAAAGCCCAGTAGAAAGAAGAACGACTCAAAAGCTCCAGCTAGGAAGAAGGAAGAAGATTGTCCTACAGGAGTTTCCAACTTGGCAAATAAGCCTTCAAAACAAAAAGGGGCAAAATCACTAGTAAAAGAAAATAAAAAAAATACTAGAAATAAAGAGAATCATAACAAAGAGGAAACATGCAGGTAAGATTACTTACCATTCACATCTTCATGCTACTTGTTTAGGGCCCAGTGCTATATATGTGCGTGTGAGTGGTTTATTTTAAGCCATCAGTCCAGTGTGGTACATTTGTGTCACACAGCTGAACAGAAGTACTGTCTTATTCATTGCAAAGTCAGTCCTGAGGAAGATAGCCTGTATAGGAAACAAATATGTGGGCGTTTTCAAATTCAGTGGTTTAAATATAAAATTTTATTTCATTTGTTATAGTTTTTACATGGGACTAGAGAGGCATTATGGAATCCAGCATGAATAGAAATGTTGGCCTGAGATTTGGGTTTAAAATGATGAGCAGAAATCTTTAAACATATAATTCTCCGGTGCTTTTGGAATCCAAATATAATACCACCATGATCTGCCCATATAGTTTGCTACAGTAAATGAATTAATAAAAAGAAATTAAACTGATAGGTCTCATTTCACTGGCCAGCTAGAGCCTTGGGTACTAGTGTAGTGAAACAGAAACAGTTCCAATTTCAGTACCCTTTGAAGGTTCAGTAAGAACAAATGATTCAGTGAAGCATTTCTCCAAGGACTCACTTGTACAAGCTGTACTAAAGGGTGTGGCCTTTGTAGGTTCAGGCATCTTCCTTCCTAAACTCCCTTGCAGAATCAGAACCTACGTTTGTGCTGAAAAAATGTTGCTCCATTGAGCCCATGGTTATTTATGGCAAAGACGATTTGCTTTACAGATAAGGTATCTGTGGTTTAATTGTAAAATACTCAATCTGTTGTTACTGATGCAGAGGTCATGCTTCATTTATTTCCCTATTTTTAGCTTGTTCTTTCTCTATTTTTTTTAAGTAAACAAGCAGCTAAATTTCCTGATGCTAAAGCTATTTTGATAATTTTAACAGTGACTCAGTGAAGCCCTCTCAGAAGGAGATAAAGTTGAAGAGAGAATCTCTTGTTAAAAAAGAGGTGGATGAAGACAATAAGAAAGAATCTCTTGTTAAAAAAGAGATGGATGAAGACAGTAATGATGATGATGAAAGTGAAGATGAATGGGAGGATGTGGAAGGTAACAAGTGCATTTTTATTCGTTTTAAGCAGTAAATTTTTTAATACCCTTTTTTTTTGGTAGTTTGATTTTTGAACCATTTCTTACTTGGATTCAGGTAAATGTGTATACTCTGTATACCTAAAGTACTCTCCATGTGCATATCTGTCTCTTTAAAAGCTCATACTCACAATGCTTTTAGAATGGTTCCAAAGCAGAAAAAAGCCAGACAACTACTGACCTGATGGTAATGCCTTGACTTTGACTATCTGTTGGCTTGCATTAAAATTATGCTACTGTGCACTAAGCGCTTTCGCAGTTGTTTGTGTTGTCTAACAATGAGCAGCTCAGGATGAGTCAGTTTGAAGATTGTGACTTTCTAATAAAGGAGAGTGGAGATGAAACTAGCTGAGCTGTTTGATTAGGTGGCCATCAACCAGCTGTGATAAGTATCATGATGATCATAATCTTCCTATTTTGCTGATACAAGTTTGTGCCTTCTGAAGTGAACAGCTGTCACTGTTTTTCTTTGATACTCACATCTGCTTCATTCACGTTTCTCCTGATCGAGTTTGCCTGTGACAGTCACTTGCCGTTAGACTGTGCTGAGCTGATTCCTCACCAGGAAGTGACTGGCATCCCACAGTTATTTAAAAAAACTGAGCACACACAGTGTTATGGAAGATCCAGGAGCTGGTGGTTACTGGGGATGTTCTATTTGTAGGTTGTTTGAACCTTGAGAAGGAATAGGTAGATTCTTATCCCATTGTCAGATCTCCTTGGGGCATCTGTTCGATGTTTCCATTGAGTAATATTTTATTTTTCCAGAACTCCAGGAACCTACAACAGATAAGTTAGAAGAAGCTGCCTCCCTTCCAGCAGTGGTGCTGCAAAGCAATCCTGTTGAGATAGAGATTGAAACCCCAGAGCAGCTGAAGAAAAGACAGAGGAGGTAAGAACATGGAAGGCAGTGGAGGGCCATTAAAAGATGAAGTTAAAAATACGCTAAGTCTTGTCTGTCACTGGCTCTCTGTTTGGGGTGGAAATCCCTGCTTTGTGCGGACAGTGGAGTTGGAATCACGCTAGGTCATGGGAAGGAGAACAGTTCTCTGACAATTCTACCAAAAAAATTTCAGTGGAAGTTGGCAGGAAAGGAGGCTTTTCAGCCTCCTTGAAAATCAAGCGTGTAACTTCATTGTTACAGGGTGGGCGCTGTCCCAGACCAGCCCTTCCCAAGAAAGCAACCAACGTATCTATTGCCTATAAGGTAAAAGACTTAATCAATGACAAGAGAACCATTTTTCCAGGAATCTGAATGCAAAGCTAGCAGTAATCTGAAAGTCAAACAATTCAGACAGTGAATTTTAAGTTTAGTATGGAGCTGTCCAAAGCTGTCTGGTAGGAAATTGTAGGCACATGAAGTTAGGTAGAATTCAGGCCATCTGAACATACCGAGCTCGCAGTTCTTAGGTACGTGGAGTTCACAGTTTATTAGTCATACGCATCACGCATGCCTGTTCACGTAGCCAGTAACTAAACTTTTGTTAAGTGTGCAGAGAAGATTCACTGGGATGGATTCTCTTTGGGGAATGATCCAGTTTGGGAATCTAGAAAGGCAGGTGCATAGAAAACCCACGACATCGATTTCCTTTGTAATCTTATGCAGTGAAAAAAGGCAAGCCGAGTTTGAGATGTATCTTCGGAGAATGATGAAACGTTTCACCAAGGCGGTTCGTGAGGACACACATAAGGTATTGGTGACAGAGAACCCTGGCAGAGAAAAAATTAGGCATAAACATGTCTGAACTTATTTGTAATGAAGAAGAAACTAGTTTTGATCAAATAATGTGGGGCCATGGCTAGAAATAAAAAAATAAAAAGGCTGTGGTCCTGACAAATGCCCATTAGACTACTTCTAGACTAAGTTAGAAACACCAGTGACTGCATTAGTAAAATTCTGCCTCAAAGCAGATGTGAGTAGGGTATATATTTCTCCACTGAGTGTGTATCTGCTCATTCTGTCAGGGTTAAACTGTCAGTCATGTAGAGCAGGAGACACTGACGGGGACTTCAAGGCTTTACTGTCTTCTGATGGTGATCTGAAGGCAGCCCTGTGTCCACCCTGTGTGTGCTTGGGAGGTTTCAGTGTTGCCTGTCTGTGTTAAAAGGAGCAGTAAAGCCTTCCTCGTCTGTACCATGGGCAGTAGTTCTGTAAAGAAAATCTCTTGTGAACTCACTATAGAAACTTTTTTCTCTCAGGTTCACCTCTTGTGTTTATTAGCAAATGGTTTCTATAGAAACAGGATCTGCAGCCAGCCAGATCTTCATGCCATTGGTCTGTCCATCATCCCCACCCGCTTCACAAAAGTGCCTGCAGGCCAAGTGGACCTTCTCTACCTTTCCAACTTGGTGCAATGGTAAAACTGTCTCTCCTAATCATGCTGTCACATAGAATGTAGAGCCAGGGTTCAGGGTAAATGTAATTACCAATTTTCTGTGTTTTTTCTGATTTTAGATACAAGGGTGAGAGTCAGTCCTTTTTACAGAAGGAAAGGATGAACTATGAAGTTTAAGAATACAGTGACAAACACTAGGTAATAAGTAGGTGTCTCATATTTCAGGTTTGTTGGAACCTTCACTGTCAGTGATGAGCTTTCCACTGAAAAAGGAGAGTCCCTTCAGTCGACCTTGGAGAGGCGCTTTGCCATCTATGGTGCACGAGATGACGAAGAGTTGGTTCATGTAAGTGACTGGGAAGCACAAGGTTGGTTGATGAGTTTGGATGCTGAATCAGTGCTGTCGTACACAAAGTGGTGCTTGAGGGATGGATTTGGAGAAAACAAATTGGTGATTTAGGTGATTCTGTGGCTTTTTGTTTTCATTTTATTTTTATCTGGAGTCCTTCTGTGATTAAATTATTAAATTTGGACTGTGCCTGACTGAAGCCTCTAGTTGTGGTTGGTGTCACTGTGCGCTCCATGTTCTTTATGTACAGTGTGTACAGCTACTTGTTCCTAAGTATGCTTTGGCCTCTTTATATTGCTTTAGCAGTGTAGATCAAAGAAAAATAGCTTAACAGGTTTCTTCTGTAATACTGATATGAGTAAGGAAATTCTTGGGTGTACTTTGTACCAGACAAACTTTACAGATCTTTGAGCTGAAGGTTGGTAATTTGTTAGTGTGAGTTACCACTGAAAGCCAAAGGAATTGAGCTTTGATTTAGAGCAGCCAGAAGACAAGGCTTCAGAAGGACTTCAAGTGTGTGGTCGTTTTGTGGTGGAATGGGATTTAGGGAGGAAGTGGAGTCAGTTGCTTCAAGTCACGCAGAAACTTTGGTAAAACAACCAAGGGAGGGGAAAACACAGGAGACGACATTGACAGGGGATGTTTGAAGGAGCAGAAACAAGGTGCTGCTTTGCAGGTGCATGGCTTGCAGCTCTGCCCTGTAACTGATAAGGTGTGATGTTGCAGCTTCTTTGCTGCAAAGCAGGAAACAGTTGTGGTGGTGGCTTTGCGGCCTTGCTGTGGAAATGCAGAGATGTCACTTCCTGGCACAGGAGGAAAAGACAAAGCAAGCCTTGCTCAGGCAGCTTCAATCAAGTCCCGTGCAGGAAGGCAGTTGCCAGGCCACAGCTGTTAGCCATGCAGTTGTGACTGTGATGACATTCCCTGGCTGGTGTTTCTGCTGGGTTCAGCTGATGGTACATGGTTGGCTTTGGCCGCCTTTGGGAGGCAGGATTTAGAGTCATCTCATTCAGTTCTCCTCAAGAATGAGAGGCTGATAGGGTAGATGGGATTTGTGTCACTTCTCACGCCTGTTCCAACAGGATGGGTCATTTAGCCTCTTCAGCAGTAGGTTCCTCATCTATGAGTTAACAGCAGTACCCCTGTCCCAGTGGTAACATAAAGAAGAGCCAGAGAAGACTGTGTGGTGCTTTAATACTATAGCAGCTGAGTTACGTACACATCTGTGTCAGTGTATACGGCACTGGGTAAAAGGTGGGAATGAAGATCATTTGTGACAGAACGCAGATTGTAAAAGAGTTTCAAGAGGTTTTTTTATATATCTTGGAAAAAAAAAAAAAAAGAAAAAGGTTAAACGTGCTTACTTTTTCTTTTGCAGATGTTTTTAATTATTCTGCGAGCATTACAGCTGATGTGTCGCCTCGTGCTGTCTTTTCAGCCTATTCCTCTCAAGGAGACAAGTGCAAAGGTAGTTTTTGTTGGGTGTGTGTAATAAGGAATAGGTCACTGGTTTAGAGAGTAGGATTGAAAATACCGTCTGGCTGTTGCAGCTTGAAGTGAATCACTTACTGCATGAACCAGGGTGATGACGATGTTCTGCCTATAGTGCGGAAGACACAAACCCTTAATTTTTAGGTTTCTTCTTTAAAAAACCCTCCCATTTTGTGTGTTTCAGCAAATACTTCTTACACTTCAGTTCTTTTAAATTTCTTTAAAACTTAAGACGGCAAACACTTGCTGCTTGAGTACCTCTCTTCAGCCATTTGCCTGAAGTTTTCAAGTCCCTAAGACTCACAGATTGACCATGCCTGCCAGCCTTTGGTCTGCATGCACCTCATGCTGATTTTAGTCTTTTTTTTTTTTGGACATATTCTTAGCCATGGTGACTACAAGTGACCTAGCCTCTTCCTTTGCAGGGGAAAACCTTGCCCAAGAGGCAGTCTCTCAGCAGTACCTCTGAGGGGCAGGAGGGCTCTGCCACAACACCCAAAGCTGTGGCAAAAAAATGCCCCTGCAGAAAAGCCAAACAGGATGAAAACTCTTCAGAAAGCAAAGAAGACAAGAAGCCAAAGAAACGGAAAACTGCACAGACCAAAAGGACACAGAAGTCAAAGTCCACTACAGAGAGCCACGAGCAGAAGGAATCTAATAATGAGGAGAGCAGTTTAGCAGAAAAAGATATGCCAGTCAGGCCCAAGAACAATCGCCGGAGACGAGTGGCCTCCAAAGTGTGTTACAAAGAAGAGAGTGACAGTGATGAGGGCAGTGGTTCAGACTTTGAGGTTTCAGAGGAGGAGAGTGATATCTCTGATGAGGATTTTGAAACTACCTCTAAAAGGCAGAGGAGCTCACTGGGCTCCCAGAAGTCAAAGCAAACGGCTATAAAAAGCCCAAAAAGTGAGACTTCAGAATCAAGGCTATCCAGAAATTCCTATGGAGCTGAACCTAGGCCAGCAAAAAGTACAGCTCCAGGCTTGCCTCATGCACAGAAAAAGAGAAACAAAATAATTTCTAGTGATGAGGATGATGAACGGGAGGTAAGGAAAGCAACGGGCACAGACCAGTGGTTGGAAGTTTTCCTTGAATGTAAGGACAAATGGGTGTGTGTAGACTGTGTTCATGGCAACATCGGCCAGCCGCAGCTGTGCTTCACATACGCCACAAAGCCACTGTCCTATATTGTGGGATTTGACAATGATGGGAACGTCAGGGATGTGACACAAAGATATGACCCAGTGTGGATGACTGCAACAAGGAAGAGCCGTGTGGACCCTGAGTGGTGGGAAGACACTCTGCAGCCATATAAAAGTCCCCATGTGGAAAGAGAAAAGAAGGAGGAAAATGAGGTAAATGGCAAGAGGTTATTCGGGATATTTAGTTGCAGGTGTCCAGTCCTTGGATTCTCATTCAGGCAAAAATTGTTAGAATCTTTCCATGAGGAAGAAAGTTTGTATTTGAATTTGGAATGTTCAGATTAAGCATGTTTTAAAGGGAATATACAATGATAGATTAAAATAATATCAAATGGAGGCTGTTAGAGAAATTTGTGTAGCAAAAGTACTGGACAGCGTATGCTGGAAACTTATTAATGCGGTTTCTGTACAGTTTAGCATTAGTCTTTAGCATACATGGTACTTAGATGTATACCCAGAACTTATTTCAAGCAAGAATGCTTTGGTCTGTTGGCTCATGTGATTAAGTTTCTGGTGTTTTTTTCCTTCGATCCATACTACTAATCATTCTTATTTTCTTACAAAGCGTGGTTCAAGAGAGTTGTGAAATCACTCTTCTTTGTACAATTTTTACAGTTTCAAGCTAAGCTTCAAGATCAACCTCTACCAACAGCAATTGGGGAGTACAAGAACCACCCTCTTTATGCACTGAAGAGGCACCTCTTGAAATATCAGGCGATCTATCCGGAGTCAGCTGCTATCCTGGGGTACTGCAGGGGAGAGGCTGTCTACTCCAGGTGAGTCACGTGCGACTGTTATCTTCGTAACAAATTTAAGAGCAAATTGGTGTGAAGACAGCAATGGTATCAGCAGTAATCCCAGGCCACATGCATAGACAGGGCAGGGGATTTAGTTGCTCAGACAGCATTTGGGTATCCCTGAGATACAGCTTTTTTACTGTTCCTAACAGGTGAATAACAGTTGGGATGTCTCTTAGGGAGAGGCTTCAGAACTCTCATGGTTGCTTTGTTCTTGCCTTTTTAGAGACTGCGTACACACGCTGCACTCCAAGGACACTTGGCTGAAGAAAGCTCGAGTGGTGAGGATTGGAGAAGTGCCTTACAAGGTAAGACGCTTTGACCTCCTTCTGTGCAACACATCTGCCCCATAAAGTTTTGGGTTTTGCCTTCTCTGTATCAGCAGATGTAGATTTCTTGCTGGCATGGTTTGTGAGATCATGAGTCTGTCCACCTACTGTGCCTATAGTTCCTATACACTGCCCAAAGCCCAGCTATCTTTTCTTCCCACCCCAAGGGTATCTAGCTGAACTGCACCTTTTCCTCTTCTTCAAAGGCATCCTAGTGTTTTATATGAGCTGCAGGATCTGGCTCCCTGTTGCATACAGGTGCCATAGGTTATCATTTGTAAGCAGTGGCTACTGAAGCTAGGAAATAGGCATTTCTTCTCCCCCAGAGCCTCCTCCTTTCATGCCCCAGGAGGGTCTGAAAGCACTGGCAGCTTGTTGTTGTGGTGTTACAGGCTTGGTCGTTGTGTTTGCACAGATGGTGAGGGGATTTTCCAACCAGGCGAGGAAGGCGCGCCGTGCAGAGCCTGCAAACCAGGACAAAGAGGACCTGGCGCTGTTTGGTCGCTGGCAGACGGAGGAGTATCAGCCACCTGTAGCGGTGGATGGAAAGGTAGCTAGGAAGGCAGAGGGTTGGTGTTAAAGGAGGTGTTTTGTATGGAGCTGTGGGCTTTGTTTTTCCAGAAGTTGCATGTTTCAGAGGTGAGATCAGTCAATAACATCTGGATTCAGGATTAAGAGTTCTGAGGTAACTGTACCCAGGAGGAAATGGTCAAAACTTCACTGAGGCCTTTTTTTTCCTGAGTACGAGTAGTGAGTGCTAGCAGTGCAGACTGCTAACTTTGTAATTCTGTTGATGTAACTTGCCTACCCCATGTTTTGCTAATTCTCTGCATTACAGCCTGAGTAACAAGGCCAGGGCAGAGAACATAACTAGAAGATAACCATGCAGCTAAAATCTAGGCTTCTGCCTCGTCATATGAATACTAATCGAATATTGGAGTGGAAAGTAGCAGGGCAGAAGGAAGGGAGAGTCCCTGAGTTGCAGCAGGGATTCTCACCTCTCTCCAGAGAGCAGGAGTGCCACCATTTCTCATTAATTTTGCAATAACAGGTTCCTCGGAATGAATATGGAAACGTCTATCTCTTCCTGCCATCCATGTTACCCATTGGCTGCGTGCAGCTGAGGCTCCCAAACCTGAACAGGTTGGCGCGGAAGCTGGATATTGACTGCGCTCAGGCCATCACTGGATTTGATTTTCACTGCGGCTACTCGCACCCAGTGTATGTAAAACTGCTTTGTTGCAGCTGATAGATGTTGATGTCCTGCAGAAGTTGTATACCCAGTGTTCAGGGGTACATACCCTCCTCTTTTGTGCCAGTAGTGGCAGTGGAGTCAGTGGCTGTGGCATACAGAAGTGACTTCATGTGCTTTAAGAGTCTGGGCTTGTGTGGGGAGGATAGGTGATGAGTTACACCCTTGGGTCCTATGAGACAGACGGTTCTGTCAGTGTTCAGGAGCTTTTGGTTTGGCTGGGTCAGCAGGCTTTTGCTCCCTCTTTTTTTTCTTCTAGTAGCTGACAGAGGATTGTGTTCTCCTTCCTAGTACCGATGGCTACGTTGTCTGTGAGGAGTATAAAGATGTCCTCATTGCTGCCTGGGAGAATGAACAAGCAGAAATAGAAAAGAAGGAGAAGGAGGTGAGAATTATTTTTGAAGCTTCCTTATGTTTATTAAGTAAATTTAATTTAATCTGTGGATAGTCAGACAAGGGTGGGCTGTGTAAGCAGCAGACACAGAGCTCTGCGACCATGAGGGGCTAGTTGCATCCCCAAAATGCCCCACTTTGGGATTGCTGTCCGGACTGCAGCGGGATGCAGTGCAAGTGCGTAGCAATATCTGAAATCGTGCATACTCTGGAATAGTTTTCCATGGCTGCTGGGAAACAAAAATGAGGAATACACGTATGAGGTTAAAGTTTTGGAGGTGGCTCTGGTGTAGCTTACACAGTCAGGGTGCACATTAGAAAGTGATGGTAATTCATGTATTTAGCAGAGAATTGGACACCGATACATTTCACTCTTAAGACTCCTACTGGCCTATAATCTTTGAACGTCACCCATTGAAGTTGACATGTTATTTTTAATGGCAGTTTAAAATCTTCCAAGTTTATTCTTCTGTGGGCATAAATACCTTGGAACTTAAGCCAGTACGTTTTTCTCTTTTGAATAACAATCCCACACAGAAGCGTGAGAAAAGGGCTCTGGGGAATTGGAAGCTGCTGACCAAAGGACTTCTCATCAAAGAGAGACTGAAGCAGCGCTACTCTGTCAAGGTATTCTGCATTTCTATTAGCGATTTCTTTTTCAGGAAGATATTTCTCTACCAAGAGATTTTTTTACAGTCTTTCTAATGTGTTAAGTTTCCAGCTGTAGAGCGTAGAACTTCCAGAGTGAAATTGCTCAAAAATCTTTTCCTTTCGTGTTAGCATGTGACTAGAAAATAGTAAAAAAAACGACACCAGAAATTCGAGGTGGTCATGTCCACGAAAGATTCATTATTGTTTAACAAGAGATTAGTGTTTCCCAAAGCATCATTTTTTGGTATTATTTTTTGTTTTGCCATACCCCCTTCCTAGATTTATTCCTCGAAGCCAAGCAAGTAGCTGACAGGATGTGAGGGGACTGCTTTTTGTTTAAAGGCAGATGGTTTAGTTCTGAATTTTTTCCCTATTGAGAAAGATGAAAGGCGTGATCATTTTAAAGCAGGTTCATTGTTATTCTTCTGCAGCCAAAAATATTTTGCTTGGGTTGAAAGAAAGGTTGACATCCAGGAATAGAAACACGCTGCTTTGGGTGAGAATCCCAAACCAGAGCGGCAAACTTTTGTAATGTCTTCAAGTGTCACAGTGATGGAGGACAAACCCTTTTACAAAGGGGTAGTTATGAGTCATTTCTAGAGCAACTTTTTTATTTTCACGCCTGTTTTTTCCAGACTGAGCTGTCAGAGACAGAGAAAGAAGCTGGATTCTCTTCTGATGAAGAAGGAGGTCCAAGTTCAGAGACTGCAGTAGAGAATGTGGCCATTTCTTGGCCCCAAAATCGCCAGTTGGAGAAAAAAGAAGAAAAGAAGGCAACCCGAAAGAGCAAGCGAGAGCAGAAAGGTGAAGCAGCACAGTTGTTCCCTTTTGAGAAACTGTGATCAGAACAAATGTGTCTTTGCCACTTCCAGACGCAAGAACAATAGTTACAACAAAAGTATCCTTTGCCAGTTAAGGACTCAGTCTTCCTGTGCACTCGTGTTTCTGAGCTATCAGGGACCAACCCAACTCAGTATCAAGAGTTTCTTTCGCTGTCGCAGGTAATTGGGTTCATCCTCTCATCCTTGGGCTTAAAGCAGATGTGCAGGTGTACCTTCCGAGAAGATCACTTTGTGCTGTTGGGTTTTTTCCCCTCTCTTTTGTATCCCTCAGCGCTAATAGTTCTGTTTTCTGAGGGATTCCTTTCACTAGCGCTGTCTCTTCCCATTTTTCCTCTTTCTGTTTTTTCCTGCTTTCCCAAAACTAAAGCAGGCGGCTGCTGTGAGCTGGCCAAGGGACCGCTGATACCCTCTTGGATTCATACCTTTTCCACATCAGTGCTGAGGGGGAGTTCTGGTCTCACCATCTCATCATCACAGAAGGGGAAATACTTCCTCTAAGGTGTAGAGGAACACGCAATCAAGATTTGGAGGAATCTAAAAATTTACTTTCTAAAGAATACCTGCCTTTGGCAAAACCTCATTTTTGGCTTTTCAGCCTGCAATCTTCCTTTGCTTTCAGAAATCTTGTGCATGAGAAGGGAGAAGCTCTGTCCTCATTTCAAACTTAAATATATCTTAAGTAATTAGAATATATACATATTTTGTTTCACTTCTGCTTTATCAAGACCACATGGATATGTTCTGGAGCAAAGCAGGTAAAACTGTCAACGTGTCACTGTCAGAAATGAAATTCACAGAAACCGGAGAGCTCTTGTAAATGTTATCCAGTATCTAAGCATTTAAAAACTGTTAAGAGAGGAATGTTAAATCACCACAAGCTTTTCCTGCACTTTTGTGATAGAAATGCTGATCTGTCTTTTGCGGTATCTTTATCACTAAATTACACTGACACCATCTCTTAAAAAATAGAGGTGACTACAGTTATTGTCTGTCACTGGTGGACATGCTGACAGAGGGAAGATTGAAATGGAAGAGAGTAGCTTACATTTAATTATGGTCAGAAAAATCTCTATTTTTGTACTGTATTTGTAGAACAAAATAAAGTATGGAAAAGAGAAATGTCTGTTACACCTCCCCTGTGTCCAGCTCCTTCTTCTGTAAGCAGCTGTTTCCTGGGCAGGACTCTCACAAGGATAAGAGCACACCATAGTGGGTCCAGAAGCCACAAATTGGGTCCCAGAACATCCCAGAGCTGCTTGCTTGTGAATTGTTTTAAAACTCAGCATGAAGACCCTTAGCATTAAGTTTTGCTACCAAATTCTAAATAAATGAAAAAAAGAGCAACCTAAGTTGAAGTCTTGGGGAGCAGATATGAAGCAGATATAAGGCTTCAAGAAAAATTCTAATCTTGCCTGAACTGGTAAAAGTGCAGCGGGCACAAAGTTCCTTCTGCGTTAGTCATCGTGCCGCTACACAGGATACACCCGGGGATGAGCACGTGGAACGCAAGGGCCTGCGTCCAGCTCCTGCTGTTGGTTCATTTTTCATCTTGTCAAAATGGGAGCTGGTACCAGCTGTGCCCAAGCGACTCCGTACTTCCGACCTCGGGACACTCTGCACAATGCGATGAGACTGGTGGATATTTATAGTTGGCAGGCAAAGAGACAATAACTGCTTCAGAGGGTGGATCCTGCTCCTCAGCTCCGTAGGGAACAAGCTGTCCTGACCCGAGCATGCAAAAGATGAAAGTAAATATTCTTTAAGGGAGAGCAAAGCAGGAGGAAGCTGAGTGACAGATCAGGTACTTGTTCTGGCAGAGGTTGGTAAGGAAGGAAGAGAAATACTCCTTCAGTGGTTTCTATAGAAACTTTGTGTACATGGAATGAAAGCGAGCCTTGGCTGGCCTGGGAAACATGAAGCTCTGTCAAAGGAGCCTTACTGTATTTTCTGTCATTCCTGTGCACACACCAGTATGTAAGACAAAAGTATTTTAAGCTGTTGAATACCTGGGTAAACCCTCAGTCTCTTTAAAAATACAAGAGGCTGTATCCAGTCAGGTTGACGCATCATACTTTCAAATAATCCTAGAGAGGTGAGGAAGTTGCTATTGCTGACGTAGTCAGTAATGGGGAGTAAAGCCCCAGGAGGCTGGAACCAGCCTTCGTCACACCAGCATGTACACGAGACAGCAGCTGTGCGCTTACTCGGATCTTGCTTCCCAAAATGGGGAAATATTCGCAGGCTAAACAAAACCCAACTGCACATTTATCTCAACCAACAACAGGAAACTAGTGCACTTGGAAGCTACAAACAAATCCTCTGTGTTTCTGGACACTTCCTGGATGTGACATGTGCAATAATTAAAAAAAAAAGCGTACAGAGCAGCCTTTTGAAAATTGTATTTTATTAGATACACAAAAGCTCAGCACTTCTGTAGAAAATTCTATCTTCATTTCTGATCCAGTAAAATGCTGGTGAGTTTGCTGCATCATTGTCAGAACAGCAATCCAGCGCTGGTTTTCCTCCCCAGTGGAGGGCAATTCTTAACTGATGGAGCAACAGCTGGTGTGAGCGAGCAGCAGAAGGCGGCGCAGCGTGGCTCAGGCGTGCCAGCTGGGTGCGTGGGACCGCCTGCGCCTCCCGTAACCTGTCACTATCACTGCTGCTCTTACCAGCAGAACCCAGCCACCACCCTGAACCCACAACATTCAAATACCAGGAGAATGAAAAGAATTAAGACAATAAAGTAACTACTACTTCAACACATTTACAATTTATAACTCAAATCAAATTTATAACTTCCAGTACCATTTGGAGCAAACACTTGCTTCAATATATGTTCAAGCTGGATTGCTTTGGTACAGGGAACACATTTCTCCTGAAGGTCATACCTGGATTTCATACAAAGACATTATTTTTATACAGAATTATATAGAATTACAGAAAGAAAAAGAAAACCACTGTAGTGTTGGGAGGGCACAGCTGGAAGCCAGGCTGTAGCTTGGTGGAGAGGCTGAACAGTACAAGACAGTCTCTGATCTCAGGTACTGGTGACAGCAGAAATACATAACCATGAGCCGCCACAACACTACACGAAGGTATTCCTCTACCATGATACAGAGCTTAACATACAGGCTACTAGAGTCTGTGGAATCTCATCACACAAAAATGTTTCCATTATTTAGCTTCATGGACTATGCTCATTGTCCTTCCTAAGAGAAATTCAAGAAAGAGTATACGCAGCAAAAAAACCCCAAATATTTTGAAGAATATACATTCAGTTACAAAAGTTAATTGTGTTTCAAGGCAGCAGGTTTTATTTTTAAAGGTTAGTGACTTCTGAGTGTCCTCTTAAATAAATGCAATTCGAAGTTAAATTTGTGACGTACTTATACAGTGGTGTAGTCCACGCTACCGTTTTGGGTGCTTAACCAAGAATAACTTCAGAGACTTTTAAGAAGCTGGGGGAAATCAATGCTTCTGACAAAGCCACCCCACCTCAGAGCTCTGCTAACCTGGCCACTCATCATTTCAAGTTACTTTGAAAATCCTCAGCCCAAAAGCACACATATTACAGAAGTATTGTGTAGAATTCGGCTAAGTTGTGGTTTTCCTTTGAACACACAGACTTCCAAATGCATCAGCCAAAGAAGGGGACACGATACTGGGCCGTGCATGCAGCACAGGCAGCCGAGGGAGGGTTTCTCAGACGGGCACACACCCGTGGGACACTGAACATGGCCCGCAGGACAGAGCTGGTACTTTCTCCATGACACACAAGGTGCCCCAGCCGCCAGCGCGGACTCGCCAGTTCTCAAACCAGGGGGAATCAGCAGGTGGTAAGAGATAGAAATCTGCTTGTTCACTGACTTGTAATGAACACAGACATCCCAAAATGCTTTTTTCCCCAAAGTCAATGTCATTGGCTTCCTACAAACAGCATCCCCTAGTCATATTTTTCATGGGTAACGTGTATCGACAACCACATTCAAGCCCCCTCCCAGCTCCTGGTGCACAGCGCTGAACTGGGACGTGCTGTAAGCGTGCTGCCGTAACCGGGACAGAAATGCACTTGAGACGTTTCTAACCAGGATTCAGCACAAAACCCAGCCACCTTCTTCTCACTGCTGCTTCTTTGGTGGAACACGAGATTTCGCAACCACAATTGGAACTACTGAGAGCAACCCGATCAGCAAAGCCCAGAGAGGGCGGTAGAAGAGCCAGCCGATGGAGATGGTGAGGAGCGACAGCGAACTGGCTACGCAGAAGGCAAACGCTTTTAATCCAATGTTAACCAGATCTCTGACAACAGGAAACCAGTCCACTGCAGAAAAAAATAAAGGAGGGATGAAGCAGTTGACAAGGATTTGCACACTAACTATCGCAATCAAAAGACAGACTCAAATTATTTATCAAGAGCACTGGATAAGGCATTTCCGCAGAGTATCCTCAAGGCATTGATAATTAAGCAACAGCTAAAAATATAAGGCAACGGTATGCTTCCTGTCTGAAGAGATCAGCAATCCAAAATAAAGTCTGAAGCCTTGTCCAAGGCTTGAGAGGCAGAGTAGACTCATAGCCTTGCAGCTGTGGAACAAGTCTAGTGCAACTGATACAATATGCTAGCACAAAAATTCATTTCTGGCAACAATAAATCTTGCAGTAGCAGGTATGTGGATAAATACATAAGAAAAAAAAAAGTCCACAGCTACAAAGCAAGTTATAGCTTTGATGTCTGAAGTTTATACAAGTTTGAGGGACTGTTCTGGTTTTCTGGAAGTTTTTATTCCAACATTTTTCTATGTTAAAAGGATAAACAAAACCCCTTTTTGCTGTGTGTTCGCAGTAGCGTGGAATAACCAGACAAGAAAGACATGTTACTGTCCAACTGGTTAATACCTGTCGGGGACCACTTGTGTATGGGTGTAGAAGTAACTGGATTGCAGCACCTTGAGTTACACTTGAAACAACCAGCCCAACATGTGCTTTGGCTTCTGACTTCAGTAAGCACAGAGCTGGGATCTTCTGAGACTGGCAATAAATATTTAGATATATATTTTTTTAAATGTTCACAAAGCAACCACCTGGTTCTGGGACCCTGTTTACCCCCAATTGCCTACAGCGGCTTTCAGATCAAATCCAATCTGAGTTCAAACCAGATTCCTCCTGACCTCCCAATTAATTGACTGCGTATGTGAGTAAGAGAGCACTCTCCAGAGATTATGATCCTATTCCTGAATAATTTTACCTTTCTGTAGAAAACTTACCCAAAGTGTAAAAGATTCGGGTCATTAGGCTGATGCCCACAAACATTGCCAGCCAGCCTGCTGCACGGAGGGCCCAGGTCTTCATGGTGTTACTTTCATGCTCTTTCTGAAACACCTCCTGAAAGCAAACATCATTACATGCAGCCAGTTTCTCAATTTCTTTGGAGATCCTCTTGATTCCAATGAGCAAATCAGAGCCAGCAGTATTTTGGGAGTACAAATTATCTCACAGAAGATGTATTACAGCTCATTCTGCAGGGTCTTTTTGCACAATATCGCGGCAAACTGCAATAGATTCCAAAGTGCAGCACAAGGGAAACAGCATTGATGTAAATTAAGATCGCTAAACAAGCGCCACAGAACACGCTATAACCACAGGCACACGGTTTTTGCTGCAAATGGATACATTGGGAAACAGCATTGATGTAAATTAAGATCGCTAAACAAGCGCCACAGAACACGCTATAACCACAGGCAGAAAGCACACGGTTTTTGCTGCAAACGGATACATTCAGCATCACTGTGGAAAATAAGTAAATGTAATAAAGGAGGCGTGATCTGACTTCACTATGTTTGGAGGAAGAGAGAAAAGGCAACAACATCCACTGATGGCTGAAGGTGTAGGAAAGAAAGCAAGCGTAGGCAGGGAAGATAAAAGGTATGTGTGTGTTTCATCAGGCAAAGCAAAGCATCTATTTGCAAGAATTCCGAGTAAGGTTTTTTCAAAATGGGTTGTGTGCCCCTCTGGCTTTATAAAACGTACACATGAAGAAGGCTATGAGATAATAAAGCACTTAATGGGAAAATATGTTTATGACTTGATTACTTGTACACACAAGTACTCTAGAAATTATTCATTTATAGAGAGTTAATTTCCAATAAACTCAAATTCTGTCTAATGAATATTCCGAGCACACAGCAGAGAGCCGATTCTACCGCTACTTTCAACTCAAAACAAAAGCCTTCTTAACTGCTTTTGGGAGCTCCTGTAAATTCTTGACATCTGTGATTTCTGCAGCAGGGCATGCAACAATCATTAATGGAAACAAACCTACTAAAAGTAGTAAATGAATCACCAAATTGCTGGAGCATGCAGGATTTATTGGAGCATAATGCACTGCCTGAAGGTTCTTTCTCAGCCAGAATAGCAATAAACATTTCAAACAAGCCTAAACTCTTGTTATTAGAAGCTGAAGAGAGGATAGCTCCCACGGTTTGTTTAATTAAAGCCTGATTTATACTGGTTTTACATACGATCTTTTCAGAAGCATGTGCTTGCATGTGTAAGCGAGAAACTACCAAAGGGCAAATAAAAGCCAAATGAGAAGGCACAGAAACAGCCTTTAAAGCAAAGGACGTTCAGCAGCAACATAGGAGAATTTAAAAAAAACCCCAAATATATAGTTACATTAGCCACAGTTCCTTTTTAAAAATAATATTTAAAAAAACATCAGGAATAACTATAGCCAAATTAGGTACTGCTAGTGGGTGAAGCAAGCATTTTGCTGCAACACAAAGAACGTGCAGACACCTGGAAGGCAAACAGGCTGTAATGCCTTGTCCTAGAAAAAAAGAGACAAAAGCCACTGTTTACATTGATGATCTCGAATAACTATAGCCAAATTAGGTACTGCTAGTGGGTGAAGCAAGCATTTTGCTGCAACACAAAGAACGTGCAGACACCTGGAAGGCAAACAGGCTGTAATGCCTTGTCCTAGAAAAAAAAGAGAGAAAAGCCACTGTTTACATCGATGATCTCCTCCTCCGGAGCAGGTCTGAAGGAGAGTGAAAAAGCTTATTCCCCCACTGCTTCTGCACTACCATCTCCAATTTTAACCCTTCACTAGGACGGGTGGTATCTCACCTCCACAGAGAGCTCTCCAGGGTAGAGAATCTGCAGGACATCTCCAGACTTGGTGTGATATGGAACCAGTTGATCACCTCGCTGGCGAGCAATCACAGTCACCTTGGAAGAAACGGAAAAAGATTTACTGGTTACTGAGTCAGGAACAGAGTTTGCAAAATAAAGAACCAGCTGAAGACCCACCTTATCAGCAGGGCCCAAATGGGGGTCATCTCCGCTCAGACCTGCGTAGAAGAACGAAACACGAAGGTCTCCTACCTACAAACAAGAGAATATTGGAAGTTAAGAAAGATTTCTTTACAAAGGACAGGAAGGACAACTCTGGATGGGAACACCCTTGAGGTATCAACACTTTCTGAATGTTTATGTCAAGCCAGAGGATATGCCGGATGATTTCCAAGCTGTACTTTTTTCAGGCCTAGCTGACAACCCAAACAGGATAGCCCAAATGCTGGTTTGCAACACCCCCTCTGATGTAGCTGCAGGAGCACATTAACACCAATGAGATCCTGTGTTCATCCCTTGTCATTTCACCTTTTGGCAGAGGAGGGCAGGCAGCACAAGCTGACAACAAGCTACTTCATTGAACTCCACTCAGTACCGCAAGGCAGCAGCAGAACACACCTCCCAGCACCATCCTGTGTCTTTCCGTTTCAAAGTATGGCACACTCAAGAAAAGGGAAGACAAAGGTGTAAGCAGGATCAGAAGCTTCCTGCAAGCAAAGCCCTCTTGCTGAAGGACTGTGCTAAGGGTCTCATCCTAGGCGATGGTCTGCACTCCAATTTCTACATATTTAAATAAAAATGGGACATGCCCCAACTTTCTTTTTCACATAATAGTAATCACTGCTTTGGTTTCTCTTTCTCATCTTACTTCTGGACGCCTGGGGTTCTCGCTGTGGTAAAAGTAATCTCCTCCTCGGGTAACATCAGCATGTGGGTCCTCAAGGTCTGATAAGCTCAACTGCTTGAAGTCATCAATTTTATCCACAAGACCTAAGCAGAATAAAGAAACAAGCTCAGGGCTGGTGTCTAACTTAGAACAGCCAATTTGCTGGCTGGCTTCCTGACTGTCGCTTGAAATGAGTGCCATTGCAGAAAGAACCAAAGTCCACTGCTGACGCAACAGCAGACACAGAGCGAATCCAGAGCAATACTTACCCTTGGAAAGAACAAAGCTGCCAACCTGGACATTAGGAGAAACAGCAGTGAAGGACTCCACAGCCATGGCACTAGGGAACAGAGAGAGTCCCTGATGAGTCCCAGAATGATGACCCAACTCTTGATTTGCAGCATGCAACACACAGCACATAAAAGGTACTGTGTCAAACATCAGGAGAAACTCAGAGAGGTAATTGGCTGTCATGATGGGAAGACAAATCCATCAAGAAACTGTGTCCAGACTTCACAGTGTGCGAGCCATTAAAATATGACTGTCTCATCCCCTGGCCTGCCCTTCCATTCACACTACAGGATTTCACTGTTTTTTTCTGGACTGAACCTATAATGGGCTGAAATGGAGTTAGCTCTTAGGAAGCTGTTCAGTGGTGATGTAGAAGTTTTGAGTGACAATGAATTAATCACATTCCTAGATGAACTCCTGCAACATTCAACTACTCTTATAAATGCATTTTATTTCTAGCCTAAATTTATTTAGCTTCCGCTGTCAACTGCTAGATCTTACTGCTAAATTAAGAGACGTAAATCATAAACCTTCGCCATATAAAGGTACTCCTACACCACAGCCAAGTTACTTAAATTCCAAACTCGGGAATCCTTTGCTTGACTTCATTCTCAGAAGTAGTACTACTAGAATCTCCTTGGCAGTAAACAACAGATTTTATTTTCACAAACGTCTAAGTTGCATAAAAAGAGAAGATGGATGGACGGAAGGAAGAAGACACGTAGTACACACTTAAAATAGCGTCACATTAATGCCAGGCATGAATTGTAAAGTTCAGCACGTCTGCATACACCGTACTGTCCCAGGCAAGGACCCACCACAGTTATGCTCAGTCTTCCTGGTTTGTATCAATACACTCAGACGAAATGTTCTTAGCTGCAACACTTTTTAAGTTATGTACTGCAAATAGCACCAAATCACAAATGTTCCTTACTCTCAGTTGGAGATTTATATCTACTGGAGAAGGCTTGGAGAATTTTCATTAACAAAAAAGGGTGCATGGGGAGGAGAGACAAAGCAGGTATGTCTTCTGTGCATCCTTTTTTCCCTTGTCTCTTGTCTAAACAAGCCTGCTGGTTGGGACTTATCATCAAAAACTTAGATCTTTGCTTTTCTTCCTTAAATAGTACTTCAAAATAAAGGGCAGTGTATTTGGATGAGGCCATAGAAACAAAACAAAGTTCTGGAATTTTGCAAAGTTCAAACTTTTATGGAATTCCTGGTCCTACTATCTCTCCAGCTGTATTTTTTGCTCACACAATGTTTTTTGCCAGATGGCATCCTGCAACCCAAGGAACCAAGCAGGTGCCTGGGAGAATGACCAGCAAGCTAAAACTTAGCATTACAAACAGCATGTTGCAGTGTAACTAAAATGCTGCAGATGAGAGATAAACGAAACAAATTATATATGGGCGATAGCCACAAATAAGCCTGTGAGCTCACATATGCTAGCTTAGAAAAAACAGCATGCAAGTGGTGTGACAAGCTCAGGGGCCACCTGCTATTCTAACTCTGTACTTGTCATAGAAGAAAATGAGTAACAGACTGCACTAACAGACAATGAAAGTCAGGAAGAGACCCATTCAAGTTCTCCTACATGGAGACCACTTGGTCCAGAGGTAATATAACCTGATGTCCAGCCATTACTAATGGGTACCTTAAGTCTGGTTCCTCCAGGCAGCTTTGAACTGCTGTCTAATTTCTCTATGCTTTTGTTCTCCCAACTACCAAAAGACAAACAGTTTCCATCTATTTCACTGTGTCATGAAGATGAGTCATTCAGCTTTCACCTTTGATCACATACAGTGACAGAATCTAGAGGGACTGTGCCAGGTGGTAAATTACCTAGGATTTTTGTGTCCAATTTCCCGATCAAAGTTCCTGCTGTTTACAACTTCCGATTTCCACTCAGTATCTGAAGAAAATGATATAAAGGTTGAGGAAAAGACAGAAAGAATTGTCACCCAAAATCGTAGTTACTCAAGACACCTCTCAATCATTTACTTCCAGTAATATTGTTTACATCAAGGTATGCACGTGATAGACTGCACTGATACTTAAATCAGTCCTCCTCGGACATTAACAAGGAATGGTAGGATTTAGGAGAAAAAAAAAAAAAAGATTTCATGGATAATAAAACTGTAACTCAACTTTGCACAGTAGGAGCTTTGCTGTTGTTATCTTCCATGATCAGGCTCTGATTCCTCACTCCACTCTTTGGGAGTAATCTGGTTTTGTGAGGAAAGGCTGCGAGCTCTGCTGGAACTAACCGAGTGCAGTAAAGCAACAGAGATGGTACCTGTATGTGCCACTGATAAAAATGTATAATACTGCCTCTGTTCAGGCCACCACAGCCTTCCCACATCCCCAGAACAGACTCCAGTAGTGTTGTGGTTTTAACCGAGCTGGCAACTGAAACACCACACAGCCACCCGTTCACCCTCCCCCAGAGAGAATTGGAGGGGTGAAGGTAAGGAGACTTGTGCGTTGAGATAAGAACTTAATAATTGAAACGCAATAAAATGAAAAGTAATAATTATAATAATGATAATATACAAATGAGTGATACACGGTGCAGCTGCTCACCACCTGCTGACCAGGGCCCAGCCTGTTCCTGGCTAACTATCTCAGAGCAGAGAAAGTCCCAAAAATCACAATCCCAGAAGAGAGAGAGAAAGAGAGAGCACGAGCGCTTCCCAGCAGACCCTTGTAATATACTGGGCATAACGTTGCATGATATGGAATACACCATTGGCCAATTTGGGCCTCAATTCTAATTTTAAACTCAAATGCTAAGCCAGTAATTGTGGGTCCATTGCTCTAGCTGTCCTCTCTCACAGCTTCTTGTGCACCTGCACACTAGCAAAGCATGGGAAGTTGAAAAGTCCTTGATTGTCTTAGCAACAACTGAAAATATCAGTATGTTATCAACATTCTTCTCATAACAAATCCCAGACTAAATCCAAAACACAGTGCTATTCTAGCTACTAAGGAGGAAATCAACTCTATCTCAGTTGAAACCAAGACAAGCAGATTCCTTATAACTCCTACAGTACTAGAGTCCCTTTTTTGAGCAGCTACCATAGTAAGTATAGCTTGCTCTATTTCCATGAAGGAGTCTAGAGGAAGGAAAGAGTTTGGTTAAACAGTGGAGTAGTGATCATTTTAAGGGATATTCTGGTGTATTGGGTACATGGCAAGGTGTTGGTAGTGGGGGGTGCTGCAGGGGTGGTCTCTGTGGGAGGAGGTCAGAGAAGAGGTCTGTGTTGGCCACAGCTGGCTCCACATCGAACCCACTGCAGGCCACAGCTGAGCCCATCAGTGAAGTCTGGGGCACTTCTGCAAAAACATTTTTAAGAAAGATCAGAAAACACAAAATAGGGAAGGGAGGGAACTAAAAGGACTAAGAAACAACAGAGGGAACACCAAAGTCAGAGGAAGAGGATGAGGTGCTCCACAGCAGAGGAGATATTCACTGCAGCATGGGGAGAGTCCATGCTGGAACAGGGGAGAAGGATG